ATGTTTATAGCAGTGCTATTTATTCGCAACAGCAAGAATATGGAAATGGTTCAAATAGCTCAAATACCTATCAATGGACTAATACATTGAGAAATTACAGTACATTAACACTATGAAATATTATGCAACATTGGGGAATAACAATTTTGTAAAATAATACATAATATAGTAGAGTCTAAGGGAGATCTGGTGGCCTAATGGCAAGAAGCTGCACTTCAATCCCAGAGGTAAATGTTTGAATCCACCAGATGTTCTGTTGGATAAGGAGGGGCACTCTCCTGTACCAGTCAGATCCAATTTGACAGTACACACACACACACACACACACACACACACAATAATAATTAATAATAATAAGTGGTAGAGTCTAGAGGGCATGCTGAGTGAAATAACTCAGTTTCATTAGGATGAATTCTGAATAAGACCAATATTGTGAAAACAGAAGGATCACCGAGCAAGAGGTATATGAATGTTCAAAAGGGGAAGGGAGCAAGAACAGGGGAAGGGAGAAATCACTAGAAAAGCAGAGGTTGCTACTCATCAGAGGGATGAACAATGAATAAGGATGGCAGAGGAAGAATCGATGCCTTTAAGCTGTGGTGCTAGAGAAGAGTATTAAATATCGCTGGATGGCTAAAAGAAAAAACACATTATGTCTTGGAAAGAGTGCAGCCAGAGTGCTCCCAGGAGGCCAAAATGACAAAGCTTTGTCTTTCATACCTTGGACATATAGCTAGGTGAGGCTATTCCTTGAAAAGGGGCATCATGCTTGGAAAGATGGAAGGTCAGTGAAGGACAGGAAGACCCTCAACAAGATGAACTGACATGGTGAATTCAGCAATGGGCTCTAGTGTGCCAGCGAGGAAGAGGATGTTACAGGACAGAGCAGGGTTCAGGTCAGCTGTTCACAGGGTTGCTATGAGTTGTACTTGACTCAACGACATCAACAAGCAGGATAGGGGATGGGTGAGGAGGTGAAGGAATAGGAAAGATTCAATGGCAACTCGAAAATACAAGGTGGTAACAGGCATAGATCAATAGTAACCAATCATATAAAATACAACATATATAAATGAAATACACTGCATATGAAAGATTATAAAAAACATAATGTGCATGAACTGAACAAAATGTATATGATTATATGAAAACAAGAAAAAGATGTTAAAAAGGTGTTTGATTTAAGACATACCCTTCATTAATAAGGCATTATTAACAGAATAAATAAAACCTTGTTTCCAAATGAGATTACATCCACAAGAATAGAGTCAGGGCTTCCAAAAATATTTTGAGGAGATCCAAGGTTCATAATTGATGACATGGTCTAAATTTCTAATTAAACTTATCACCTCCTCTTTGCTATGGGTAATTTCCTTTCATTATCCCAAATCTTCAGTACATTTGTGCTAGGTTCAACAGACTTGTATGTAAGGTGTAGTGGAGGACACTGTAGGTACACAACACAGGACAAAAGAGACCAACAAGACAGGAAGACCTCAATAGAAACTGGGACTCATAGTTCGGACAGATAGACTAGGAAAATGCCATTTCCAGAGAAGTCACTTGAATCCATAATTAACACTCACAGTAACAGTAGCCAAGAAATCAGAAGACATGTTGCATTGGGAAAACGTGTTGTCAAGGACTTCTTGAAAGTATTAAGCAGCAATGCTGTCAGTTTAAAAACTAAGGAGTGCCTGATTCAAGATACAATATTTTCAATTGCTTCCTATGCTTCTGAAAATTGGGTAATGAATAAGGATGACAGAAGAACCTTTGAACTGTGATGTTGGTGAAGAATATTGACTGCCCCATAGACTGCCAAAAGCATAAACAAGTCTGTTTTGGAGTAAATGCAACTAGGGTGTTCCTTAGAGGCATGTATGATGAAACTTTGACATACTTTGGGCATACTGTCCAGAAAGACCAGTCGTTGGGAAAGGACATTATGCTGGTAAAGGTGCAGGATCAGAGAAGAAGAGGAATACAATCAACAAGATGGACTGACACAGTGACTTTAACAATGGGTTCAAGCTTATCAGATGGTAAGGATGGTACAGGGTAGGGCAAGATTCTGATCTGTTGTTCACAGCATGGCTATGAGTCATGGTGGACTGCACAGCACCTAGAAACAACAACAGAGAAATTAACAAGACACTGACTGGAAGGCAAGGGTGGTAAATTCCTACATGAAGTGGGTTGAAGGCTCTACTGTCTTATTTGCATTTTAAAGAGGGGCCTCAGAAAGCTGGAAGACTGGAGGACATCTGGTTTGTATTAGTATACACTGACACTATAATATGAAGAAGAATGAACAAAGCTGTCTTGTAAGAAGCACAGGCAGAATTTTCCTTAGACGTGAAGATGGCAAGACTGTCTAGTGTACTTTGTGCATGTTATCAGAAGAGGGTAGGCCCTGGAGAATGGCATGGTTGGTAAAGTGAGGGTCGGCAACTATCTTGTAGAAGAGATGGATGCTAGATGAGGCGGACTGACAGTGGCAGAAAGAATGGGGTCAGATACAGCAGTATCTGTGAGGATGGTGAGGACTCAGCAGTGTTTTATTCCTTTGTGCGTTGGATCACTCCAAGTCAGAGCCTACGTGACAACAACACTGATATTAAAATAATCAAAATACTGAGTCAACTGCTGGTCCACGGTCTCCATTATAGTGATTCTCAAATTAGTTCAAGTATAACCAAATTTCTGGGGACTGCTTATGATTGTTAACCTTTTATTACATCAGATAGTGACTGCCAAGGAAACAAACAGATTCATCCTGGAGAGGATTAAACCAAGCAACTCCTTGGAAGCAAGGATTCTGGGGCTTCGTCTGACATACTTTGGGCATGTTGCAAGGAGGGACAGGTCCTTGGAAAGGGACATCATGCTTGGGAGGGTGGAGGGACAGCACAAAAGGGGAAGACCCTCTATGAGATGGATTGATTCAGTGACTGGGGTAATCGGGATGGGTGTGTCAGAGGCAGTGTGATTGGCACAGGATAGAGCAGGGTTTAGGGCTGTTGTACACAGGGTCGCTATGAGTTGCAAACGACTCGACGGCACATAACAACAACAACAACAATATCACCATAGTGATAGAGTATTTTATGAAAATGCTTCACAAAATAAAGGACATTTAAACACACATACAAGCAAAATTGGGCAGGGCACAGTTTCAGAACGATTTTTAAAACTTTTGTTATCATGAAAGGAATCACACATTTTCCTAAAACCCATTGAATTGAAAATTAGATATTTTATTTAGCCTCACCCTAAAGATTCGTTAATTCTTTCTTCACTTATTCACTCATTCTTATAAATGTGTAAGTCTCTCATGTGTTAAGTATTGTGCTAGGTGCTGGGGTGCAGAGATGAACACAACAACGCTCCTGTTCTCAATAGCTGATAGATTGCTAGAAAAGTCAACTAGGTGACGCCAACCGCAAACAGAACAATCTGGACTGCACTAGAGGAAGTGACTGAGGACTAAAGAGAAAAGGTCAAAGCAACACTGGAAAGGTAGCAAGTCTATCTCTAAGCAAAAGTGTGAGAACTATTAAAATCTAATGTCAGGTCTCACACAGTATTTGAGTGTCTTTACCCGTGGCTCAAGGAGAAATTGACAGTACACCTTAAATATCATGGGGATTTTCATCTGTTCTAGGCCAATCAATCACACGGCCTAGAACACATCACATGTGTGATGTCAATCAGGGTCATTTGGTCTATACTGGACAAGAGAGAGGAAGAGGTCAGTTACATGAAGTTTGGTGGAAAGATCTGCCCTTTCCCTCCTTGTCTAAGGTGGGATGATGGCTTTGCACATAGCTCCTTTGCTGGTTTCAGGACACACCCCTGAGGGTTAGCCCTGAGGGTTAGCAGAGGATAGGACGACTAAGGGCTGTGCAGCCATGGTGACAGCTCCTAGAGACAGGGAAATATATTTAGGGCACTTTTTCAGAACAGCACAGCTAGGGGATGTCTGGAAGTGGGAACGGCACATTGGTCTCTTGGGCTCAACACAAGCCTTCTCACTACTGGAAGCTACTAGATTTCTGAAGCCCACGTGGTGAGGTGAAGAAGGAGGCATAGTGGAATCATCTGCTTTGGCATTTCCCAAGGAAGTAAGAAACGTTGGCATAGTAAGATATAATATACACATTTATGTAGGAAGAAGAGCCAGAAGCAAGCACACTAGAGAGAATTTTCTTTTCTTTTTCTATGCTTAAGGGGTACTCTATTAGAAGGGGGTGGGGGAAACCCAGCTCAACAAGCATTATATAATCAGAATATATACGTCAAAGGGATAGTTACTGGTACATTTCCCCTCCCCCCATGCCAATGCTTGTTAGAAAATAGGTCCAGAACTTTTATGCACCTTCATTTAAAACTGTTAGTGAATTAACTGATGATGGCCGTTCCAAGGTCTTTAGCCCTATCTTCTGGTTTTTCTGAAACACATACATGTGGTAGCGGTACAGAAACACGGGAAGCGACTCCGGAATGCACAGAGGTTCTGCAGTATGCACTCGTTCTCCCTCAGTCTTAGCAGCTCTCCCTTTGCGTGTTTTAGGAAAACAGTGGAGTCTAGCTGAAATCGAGCCACATTAAATTAGATTGCTTCCCTGCAAGAGACTAAGAGCAGAGGTGTGGCCTTCTCCCTTCCTGAATCCTAGAATTCGTGACTTTCCTAGAAGAAGGCCCACCAAGGGGCCGAGGAGGGATATCAGAGCTGCGTGGAAAGCAGAGCCTTGGCAAACAGTTCCCGAATGCCAGAGACCAGGCAAGGTGCTAGGTGAAGCGGAGTCGGTTGCCCTCGAGACTGCTTGCAGAGGGTACTGCAGCACCAGCAGGGCAGTGATTTGCTTCCTAAAAGAAAAGGTCCTGTAGTCCCCGAGATCTCTCCATGGGGTGTCACAGGGAGACTTAAGATCAGCGACAGGGCTCGGAGATCTGGCAAGTTCCTGGGAGTCGAGCTGGGGCAGCGAGTGCCTTACCTGGCCGGGCTGGCTGGTGTAGTTGAAGGAGTAGATGTTCTCCATGCTGAGACTCACCACCCCGCTGTACACACGATCGAATTCGGCGCCCCTGGCTGGGTCGCGGGGAGCGCGGCGCTGCGCCAGGCGCCCGGGGGCCGCCGTCCGCAGGAGCCAGGGCAGCGCGCACAGCAGCGCGAGCCGCAGGCAGCCGCGCATGATGGGCGCCGCGCTCCGACTTGGAGCCGAGCCGCGCTGGGAGAGCGCGAGCGCAGAGCCGGTCCTTCCAAGGCTCCCGGTGGCGGCGCGAGCGCGGGCGCAGGCGCGGGCTTCGGCTCCGCGCCGGCGATGCCTGGCGTGTCCCGCCTGGAGTGAGTGCGGGGTAAGAGCTGCTCAAATATTGATGTCGCTGCCGGGGGTCTCCGCGGGAGGTCACAGGCTGGGAAGGTGGGGGCCGCAGGATGAGGGGGCGGGTGCCTGCTGCCTTCCTCTCTGGCTTTGAAGTCGGCTCCCTTTTCTCTTCCTCATCGCCTAGAATCCCCCTCTTATTCCGCCAGAACCCTGAACCGCAAAAGGGGTGGGGGAGAGCACTGAAGACTCGAGAAAGAAATATCCAAGGGTCTTAAGGAAGAGTCTTTCTGAGCAGCTATAGAGCAAGAAATTCAGTTCATTTCCAAGAAACATGCACCCGGTGGAGGCGAGGTAGAGAATTAGAAAGCCTGCCTGCCGGGAAGAGGTTGCATGAGCGCCTGACCTGCTGCAGGGTGATTCAGTCTCAGTTCTTACTCCAAAAGCACCTCTTCCCAGACACCTGTTTTATTTCCTTATCACCTCCTATTCTCCTGGGGAAAGCCTATCACGTCATCGTTTTCTCCCTCCCTTGCCATATGTCTACGTATGTAAATATGTACAGTCATTAAAAAAAAAAGATATGAGAAAGAAGACAATTTCAAATACTGCCTCGGTCCCGGAAGTTGTCAAAAACCATTGAGAGTAACTGACTGAATTTATGCAAAGAATATTTTTCCTTTGTAGCAGGCTCTTGCTTACTTTATTTAGCTCCGCAGTACCTACTTCACAGATTTTTTTTTTTTTTTTAGAATCTTCATATTGGTTTTAGAACAACAAAAAAGATACAGCTCCTCCTCGTGCCTTTTTAAAAAGGAAATTAGGCAAAGGTAAGGGAATAGACTTAAAGGCTTAAAGAAGATGTAAACGGAAGGGGTGAGAAGGTGTATGTAAAGTTTTTGGAGAGCATCAGGCAATCACAGTTTAGGTGGTGGTGTGAGGTGCCATTGAGTCTACTTTGACTTAAAGTGATCCTGTGAACAACAGGTTTGAACCTTGCCCTAATCCTGTGCCATCCTTACAATCACTGATATGTTGGAATCACAGATATGGGTTTGCATGAGCACAATTAAATGTTGTCAGAATCCCATGCTTCTCAATATTATTCATCATTTGTATGATCCACATGGTCAAATTGTTAGTCACCCTGTCAATCCATCTTGTTGAAGATCTTGCTTTTTTGTTCTTTTTTCTTTTGATGGCCCCCTTCCATCCTCAGGATGATACCTTTTCCAAGCACTGGGCCCTCTTGACAACACACCCAAAGTATGTGAGACAAAATTTCACTGTCCTTGCTTCTAACGAGTATCCTGGTTGCACTTCCTTTAAGACAAAGTTGTTTGTTCTTTTGATAGTCTATGGGGTATTCTTCAACACTACTATTCAAAGGCAACGGCTCTTCTGTTCTCCTTAGCCATGGTCCAATTTCAGATGCATAGGAAGTAATTGAAAAAAACCCAAACCAAAACCCCACCAACTCACCATGACTTAGAGCAGGTGCACCTTAGTCTTTAATCTTTAAATGAGCATTCTTGCTCTTGAGAATTCTGACAGCAGATTTTTCTAATATACACATCTTTCAATATCCTGACTGCTATTATCTTGCTTTTGATTGTGCAAAAAAGTCATTAACAACTTCAGTCTTTTCTCCATTTATCTTGATTTTCTTTATTGATGCTGAGGATTTAAAAATTTTTTTTACTTGTTTATTTACAAAATTTGAATACTTTGTTTTTAAGAAGACATTCTTTCAATTTCCCTCACCTGCCCCCATTACATTTTACAACCCCATGATTAATCCCTTTCCTCCCGCACATCCTCATCCTTCTGCTTCCCCCTCTCTTGGATCCTTATACTCATTCTGCAATAATGGTTTTATATAATGTTTATCCGTGTGGAACTGAGTTAGTTCACTAAGAAAATGAGAACTGAGGTACAAACTGAGATTTGTGCACCAATGTTCATAACAGCTTGGATGCTGAGGATTTTTATCTTCCTGGTATTGGTATACAATCCATATTGAAGGCTGTAGTCATTGATCTTCTGTAGCAAGTGTTTCAAGTCCTCTTTCAGCAATCAAGGTTGTGTCATCTGTATAAAGTAGGTTGTTGATGAGTCTTTCACCAATCCTGTTACCACCACATTCCTCTTCCTTTAGTCTAGCTTCTTGAATGATTTGCTCAGGATACATATTAGGTAGTTGTGGAGAAAGGATACAACCTTGACATACCTTTCTGATTTCAAACCATGCAGTATTCCCTTATTCTGTTTGGACAAGAGCTCTCTGGTCTATGCACAGATTTTGCATGAGAGTCATTAAATGTCGTGGGATTCCTATTCTTCTCAGTGTTATTCATAATTTGTATAATCCACATGGTGAAAGGCCCTTAGATAGTAAAACACAGGTAGAAGACTGTGGGGCGAGGGGAGCCACCACAACCCTCACGCTCATTGCTATCGAGTTGGACAAACATATAGCTGGCCCTCCAGCAGGTTTTTGGAAGCTATAAATAGCGTGGGAGGAGATGGCCTGTCTTTCTCTTGTAAGCTGGTGGATAGTCACTGCCAAAGAGCAGCTGCTCTGGGGTTGGCAGCACAAATCTCTACTGACTATGTATAAGGAGGAAACTCACTATTTTGTTTCACCTTCTGGTTGTTTGCAAATCAGAAAAGAATATAGGTGTGCTCAACCTGAACAGTAAACACGAAGCCTTAAAGAAGAAAAAGATCTTATTAAAAAATTAAAGATTACAGATTAAAAGGTTATTCTTCACTTAAAGGGAGGGATTTGTTTTGTTTTGGGTTTATCCCACTGCATTCCTATAATTCATTAGAACAAAAATCTGTGCAGTGCAGTCAATGTATAGCGTAAAGCTATACCTTATTTACAAAACTTATGTCATCTATTTTATATATATAAAAATTTATACATATTATTTATAAAAACTATGTCATCAGAAATCAGTTCTTGTGAAAGGCTGAATTAGAGCATTCTTTTTAAAGACAATTTTCCCATTTTTAAAAAGTAATTTTAAAAAAAATATATGAGCATAAAGTCAAGAAGCTAAGTGAATATTTAATTCAAGGTGTCCTGGGATAAAGGTTTTAAAGTAGAAGTCTTTGTTTTTTAAGATAATCATTTTCATTCAGAATTTGAATGATTTTAAACCATTGTATTTGAAATGTTGATACCCCTCTTTTAAACTTAACAAAGTTAATAAAAGCTGACATTTGTAATGCCCTTCAAGTCACTTGGACTAAGAAGTCTCTGAAAGTATGATAACATGGAGTCCTTTTAGAATATTGTAATAGGTGAAGAACTGACACTTCTACAAGACAGCCCATGCTTTTGGAGAAAAAGCTTCTACTTTTATTATGATTATTACACATTTCATACTCCCAGTCACAAATTTGGGGTCTTCCTTCAGGAGCTGTAGGGATAAACCTAATCCTCCTTCCACATGGAAGGAAGCCTTGTAGGTATATGAAAGGAATGATAATTCTTTCTTCAAATATGTTTCCTACTTTTAAGCAAAGAAATGGAGCAATTAAAGCATATGCTTTATAATAATATAGAATAAAACATGTTACTTTTATAGCCACTATAGGTGACAGCTATACTAGTCCATTTGAATATTTAATTACAAATCACCCTACACTGTGATAAAATCTTAGTTCTAGTCCAAATCTATTGTGTGACCTTACATAATTTACTCCTCCTCATCACAAGGTTATTATAAGGAAAAAAGATGGAATAATTCACTTGAAAATGTATTAAAAAGTTTAAAACACTCTCACTGGCTATTGAGTCAATTTTTGACTCAAGGGAACTCTCCCCAATTGGGTTTCTTTCATTTTTAACAGGACGATTCTGCCCATCTTTCTCCCTCAAAGGCTGCTTGTGGATTTGATCTGCTGACCTTTTGGTTAGCAGCACTACAGGTTGCACACTATGTTACCAGCTATCCCTAAAAAAAATTAAAAAAATAAAAATTAAAGTGGTGTTCAAATTTTGTTATTGTATGACTTCTAATTTCAACTACTAAAAAGCAAAATATGAGCCATTAGTCAAGTGTTTTTTAAGTATCTCCAGTTCAAACCATCCAGTGAGAGAGACTGAACATGCAAATGGACAAGGAATAGGCAGGCAGACTGTGTCTCCTGCAACCTTTGCAGCAACCAGCTCAGGAAGCCAAACCACGCTTTTTGAGACAAACAGACCAAAACTTTCAGAATTTTGTCATTACCTACTAGCTTTTCTATTTCACCTTTTGTCATTCTAACTCAAAGAACCCTTCAATATTGGTTATATCTCACAATTTCAGGAAAAGAAAATACTTCCCACTGGGCCAATAGGCAACATTATGATAGAGAAAAGAGTAAAACCATTAACAGTTTAATTTTCCTTGGATCCGCTTCCAACATCCATGGTACCAGTAGCCAAGACATATAAAGACATGTCACATGGGGAAAAAAATCTCTTGTCAGAGACCTCTCCAAAGTGCTCAAGAGTGATAACTCAGCTTAAAGACCAAGGTGCACTTGATTCAAACCATTGTCTTCTCAGTTACTTATTATGCATCTGAAAGTTGAACAATGAATAAGGATTACAGAAGAATGGAAGTCTTTGGGTTGTGGCACTGAACATCCTATGGACTGTCAAAAAAAAAAACAAATTTGACTTGGTGAAAGTACAACTAGAGTGCTCCTTAGAGGCAAAGATGATGAAACTCTGTCTCACATGCTTTCAGTATACTTTGTTAATAGGGACCTTGAAGAAGGGAATCATGCTTGAAAAGGTGGAGGTTAAGATAAGAGAAGAAGACCCTTAACAGGATGAATTGGCATGATGACTATCACAACACACTCAAGTATATTGGCACACGATAGGGTGATAGGGCAA